AGCACGCGCGGAGGAGCGCGATAGAGAGTAGGCTAGAGAAGATACTATTTGTAAGAGTAGTCGGCGGGCCGCGTATGTTTGCAAAAATGCGTCGCGACGAGGATGAAAAGGCACCTTGTGACTTCCGGGCGCCTAGACGGACGCGCCGAATGGCCGAATGGCCCGATGAATTCGCGTACCCGTATGCATCGTTTGTTCTTAAATAACGCTCCGTCATTACGCGAGATAACTATTTACGTAACGAGCAACGTGCGTCGGCGGCTCTCTGTTGTCGAGGCGAACGAACGAACGAACGAACAACCGCACCACCGGCATGACGCGTCCCGTGCCGGCCAGTTAAACTTGCCATTTATTATACTTACGGAATAACTACGAGGCACCTATCGCTCTTTTTAGCACAGTTGGGAATGTTCTCTTTCTGCCTTTCTCTCCTTCTCTCTCTTTTTCTATGTTTCTTGTCCCCTGTCTGTCTGTCGTGTCATTCCCTGGCGAGCTCGCGATATGCGAGTGCCATTTCGCGACTTAAAATAGAAAACTTCTCACGTGTCTCTCAAGCAACTTATCCGTCTTCCATATTCACGCGAATCCCAAGGTTAAGCTTCGGCTGCCTCGGCCCGAGATGGAGGATTGGAGAGAAGCCTTTGAACAAATTTTTGTGACACTTTTTGGATATAAAGTGACATGTAAAGCTTCTCTTTTTTAGAGAAGGAAACGTTTGTGAAGAATTATCCGTTCGAAAATTTTCTCATCTTTTGCATTTTTGCGAATATTAAGAATAATTATCGAAGGACTGTTCGTTGAAAAACAATTGTCAAGTTGACACTTGATTAAATTCAGATTTTATCTTCTTGAAAGAATTCTCGTCAGAATTTCTTTTTTGGAAAGTATCAGAAATTTATGAATTGTATGAACATTCTAAATATATATAAGGGATAATTGGAAGTGTTTCTAAAGGTCTTTTGCATAAGAGTTCTCTTAAATCGCAACAGAGATTTATTCTATCGATGAACAACCGTCGATCGAGCGCAAGTATCCCATTTACTTTTCGTGATCGAAATTTCATTTATGCACTCGCGACTCGTGCAATTCCTTTTTAGGCTGCGTCTGGTTTCGCGGGCGTGAAATAATGCACCGTTGCGCCCCGACATTTTCGTATGTAAATCAGTAGGCCATTACGAGCAATCATTTCGTCGTCGATGTGCGATGCGAGTAAGGCATTGATAATTAAAGCTCACCCCTCCCCTTTCAGAGAAAGAAGAGTGCGCGAAGAGCGAAGAGCGAATTTATTATTACACCATTTCGTCTCCACGTTGTACTCGTCCTTGAATCGAATTCAAAATTCTTTACGATTTTCGTGCATTTTTAGTATATTTTATCTGCACTTTTTTTTCTCCGATCGAGAACTTTAAGCTCTCTGATATTCATTGTTATTATTGGTTAACTTTAACTTTCATTTAATTTATTTTTGTCTTTTCTTTTTTAATTCGAAGAAAAAGAGGAAGAGCAAATTGAATCAAGATTGAAGATAATCTTGATAAAAATAGAGATAGCAAGTCTAGTTTTCCCGGAACATTTTCCGTTCGCCGCTCTCTTAAACCTGTAGATTTTGCGATATGTCTAATCTACAAATATCTCTCCGTTCTATACTCTCGAATTCTGTATCCATATCTTTTGGAGCGTAATATTCCATCGGTTCCGTAATATACCCGAATCTCTTACATCTCGGGGATATAATCGAGAGGAACTGTGCTCTTTCTCTCTCTCTCTCTCTCTCTCTCTCTCTCTCTCTCTCTCTCTCTCTC